GAGATCCCAGGGCCTCTGAGTTAGTTAGGCCCTGGGCACTTGAATGTGAGGCCGACAATGCATGCTGGGTATAGAGGCCGAAAATGCCAAAGGGAAATCGGCCCACTATCTGAATCTGGCCGCAGGCCTTGACGAAAGAGGCGCAACTGCATTGCCCCGGGCCTCAACTGTATCGGGCTGGGTTCAGCCACTGGGGCCCGGTCGCAGGCTGAAGGGAGGCCGCCCACACGCAGCACTGGCATATAGGCAAGCAGGGCGAGTGGGCAGGGATCTTGGCCATTGCGGGCAATGCCAGCACGCTGCGCTAATGCGAGCTGCTGCGCTGCGCTGGGATGAGGTGCAAGGCAGGCAGGCGCTAGGCGGTAGGGCACTGCCTGTGCACTGTGCGCTGGCGGCCATAGTCGGGCTGCATAGGGCGAAAGGGAGGTGAGGGCGAAGGTGGTTCTTCGGAGGTGAAGGGCGCTGTGTGGGTAACAAGGGAGAGTGTGGGTGAAGAGGACACGTACCTGGTGGAGGTGGAGGTCGGCATTGGTGTTGACATCATCACTCGCTGGTAGTCAAGTTGTCTGGCTGCTTTAATTGCTGTAGTTGTAGGCTAGGCTGTAGAGTAGATGTTACATCTTCGAGTCACACGGGTCCTACCGGACCCGACTTAGGGCCGGAGGGACACACCAGGGCCTAAAGGCCCGACCTTTGAGGGTCACAGGCCCTAAAGGCCTGATTTTGGACAGCCACCCATCGGGTAGGCCCAAACGACACTTCGTTTGGGCCTGGCGGCGCTCTTAAAGCTGCCATCTCATGATTGTATGTGTGTGGAGCGATACCATGTAGGTCAGTCTATGTGAGTCAGTTCGTTATCAGACTTCCGCTGCATAAATGCTCATCCTATATTGGTTGATCTTTGGTTCTGCCCATACTCATTGAAGTATGTAACAGTAGGTAGGGCGCCTGGCGCCATTCACAAGAGAGAGCTACATTGGGTTATGCTGTTGGTGTTGCCCTGTTGGGCTTGGACATTGACTCACGATTCTTCTGTATCATTCTCAAATGGATGGTTACTCGGTTCCATTGTGCTATCTGCTTTGGCTTTGACTACTTGGACTTCARTGTGATTTTGCATTCTGGATTTCTGTGCTTTGTCCATATTCATGTGCCTTGCAATTTGGTATCGGAGCTGGTATGATTCGCCACTTACCTCTGGCACCCTGGCGTTATGCAGACTTGGTGCGTTGACGATGCTTCTTCGCAGTTGGTACTTGTGACGTCAGGCCATATATAGGCGCACGCCCTGGGTAGAGAGGGGTGTGCCGGAAGGCTAAGATGGCAGTGTATGCCGTGGTCACATGCGGAATGTATGACTGGTGATGAGAGCATGCTGATGTGGCATTCGGCTGAGGTGGCACTGCATTACGTTGTGGGTAATACCGAGGCCAAGACCGGTCATCAAATGCGCACTCAGCTCAATTGGTGAGAAATCTGTGGTTGGGGGCAGCTATCTCCAGGTACGTTGTTCCCTTACCTTATCTACTCTCTCAATCTCTTCTTACTGTGAGGAAGTGAGTCCAACTTGAGAGTCCTCTCTTTTGGTGAGGTGTCGTGAGCGCGCTACCTTGAGAGACGACAATCTTCCCAGAAGCATCTGGAAGGAGAAAGGGCGGTGCCTCTGAAGGGCCCTGGTCGAAGCACTGGGTCACGGTCACCATGCCAACCCAATGGGAGTAGGTCACGCATGCGATGGCTACTGTCCATTTTGGCACTTGCTGCGCTAAATAGAAGTCCTGCCGGGTGTGCCAGCCCATGACAGATGCTAACCAGACCGTCTATAAACATTTCTGGTTGGGAGTTCATTGTGAATCTGGCTGTGATCGTCGTCCTGACTGCGACGTTAAATAATTCTTGCAGAGATGGGGGCGCTCTATAAATTCCTCCTGATCAGCCAGATCACATGGACAGGAAGGCTCGTCGTCGTACGAGGGTAAATAAGAGTGGTTGGGCTGGCTTGCTCGGTAACGACTTGGGCACAGGGGTGGGCCGATACACACACGAAGACACTGCTTGCTCAATGATGCTTACTGGTATGTTGGATTGAGGGGAAGGGTAGGTTCTAATTGGTGCTCAATTGTATACACAACCATACCCACTAATTATACATCTGCTACATGGTCTTTTTGTATTTTTGATTAGTTGGTGGACAGACTGCTAACACCTCACAGACATATTAGACTAGGACTGTTGTATGCTACCATAGCCAGTTCTGTCTAATGCTGCTGTAAGTGAACCAATCAGAGTACATCTAGACTATGTAGACAATCTGTTGTGAATGTTGTAGACATGCCACTTGATCGGTTAGTAGGGGACTTGCCGGACACAACTATTTTTAGAAAATTAGGTGTCGGTCAGACACATGCTGTGGTAGGATTCCACTAGGGGATTCTAGTGCAGATACTGTCTGCCTAACTGATGAGCGGAACAGATCCTGTTGATGATAGAGCAGACAATAGGAGACTAACACGTGCGGAAGCACTTAGGGTCCCGCACGTGTTCCAGGCCCTACAACCGGAAGAAGAAAGACGACTTATAGCCGAACGTAGAGCCCGTGCACTAGCAGCAGCTAGGGCAACAGCGAACGCCGCAGCTAGGGAACAGGCTGCAACTGCAGCCAGGGCATTAGCCATGTCTTCTGCAGCAGCAGTATCCTGAGTTGCGTCTTCGTCTGGGACCAATGGGACCATGTTGGGAATGCCCACAGGGACCACGGGTACTTCCCGTTCAATGGGTTCTCGACAGTCTACTAGTCAAATGGCGGGCTCGCAGTTCAGCCCGTTGACCCCACGTGAGAGGGAGCTCAGAGAGATCCAACAGGTCGAGAGGCTTCGCCAGAAGTTAGAGGAGGACGTGAAGAAGGCAACCGATAGAGAAAGAGAGATTAAAAATAGAGCAGTCAGGCTTGATACTTTAGAGGCTGACAAGGCTGAGTTAGAGGGCTTGGATGAGTCAGCATTGAGTGACCAAATGAAAGTACTGAAGAAGAATATGTTGTCGTTGCATGCGCACGTGGACAGCAGATTAAATTTCATGCAGAGCACTCCAGACCAGATCCTGGATGTATTGACAAGGCCAGGATTCAGACCACCAGCACAATCGTCGTTGCCGTTATCGGCGATGTCAGGCCCCTTTCCACTTCAAGTTGGTACATAGCCACGTGATACGTCTGCAGCAGGCACACAGACTGTTGCATCTTCTTCTTCTGGTCCAGCGGTGGGAGCTACACCACCGCAACAACCTGTTCAACAATCTGGACAGCCGCAAGGTCAATGGTATCCTAAGACCCCAATGAAACCGCCTCTTGCCTTTTCAGGCGAGAGAAAGGACGAAGAACTCAACACATGGTTGAGGACCGTCCCGGTTTGGGTGAAGGCAAAGAGGACCTTGCCTAAGGATGAAGTGGTAACTGCTGCATCTTACCTCGAGGGTAAGGCAGCCAAATGGCTAGATGGTGTAGTTGAGAAGGCAGGGTACGGGCGACGCATGGCGGACTGGGCTAAGTCATTAACGTTA